TGGAGCTAGCTAGCTAGCAAGGAAGGCGGGAATTATACCGGTGCAAACCACGCTCCCCCTCCCCTCCCCTGCCAGCGCTGTTGCTAAGCGCAGCCTGTTGGGCAACCACTGGACGGGGAAAGTCAGGAAGCAAGCAATGCGGTTTCATTTCCGGGACCACCTCAAAAGCCCTGCCGCTGCTGTTGCTAATAGCAGCCCGTTGAGCAAAGCCCGTTAAGTGCTGTTGCTAAACCACTGGACGGGGAAAGTCAGGAAGCAAGCAATGCACTTTTGAGGCGCCTCAAAAGCCCTGCCGCTGCTGCTACTAAGCGCATCCCGTTGTGCAAAGACTGGATGGGGGGAGTCAGGAAGCAAGCAATGCAGCCTAGTATCCCTCCTTCATCCTTCTTCCCCTTTCCCCTATCCCACCCACTCGGAATTCGATCCCTGCACTCCTCTCCTCCTAACCCACCTGAGACTCTGTTGAAACAACCCGTCAGTCCTCCTAACTAACCCACTTGCGTCTCTGTTGAAATCACCTGACACTCCCACCTCACAACCCACTTGATTCTCTGTTGAAACACCTGACATTCCACCTCATAACCTACCTGACAGAGCTGACAGCCCCAAAATGGTCGCACAGAGTGGCGAGGCGGGAAGGAAGTGCAGAAAATTCTGGCTATCTTCCTGCCCTTCCCCTCCCTTCGCACTCTCAGCCCACCTGACAGAACTGACCGCCCCGAAATGGTCGCAGAGAGTGGCGAGGCGGGAAGGCGATAGCCCACCCTAACTCTCCACTCTTACTCCCACCAACCCCCTCCAACTCCCTTCCCCTCCCTTCGCACTCCCCGCCCACCTGACAGAGCTGACCGCCCCGAAATGGTCGCAGAGAGTGGCGAGGCGGGAGGGCAGCACACTCCTATTTACCTTTCTTCCTTACCCTTCGCCTACATTACACCTTTTCACTCCCTCCCACTCCCTCCCTCCCACTCTCAGCCCGCCTGACAGAGCTGACCGCCCCGAAATGGTCCCACAGAGTGGCGAGGCGGGAGGGCAGCACACTCCTATTTACCTTTCTTCCTAACCCTTCGCCTACATTACACCTTTTCACTCCCTCCCACTCCCTCCCTCCCACTCCCTCCCTCCCACTCTCAGCCCACCTGACAGAGCTGACCGCCCCGAAATGGTCGCACAGAGTGGCGAGGTGGGAGGACAGCCCACTCTCGTGCACCTTTCTTCCTAACCCTTCGCCTACACCACACCTTTTCACTCCTTCCCACTCCTTCCCACTCCCAGCCCACCTGACAGAGCTGACCGCCCCGAAATGGTCGCAGAGAGTGGCGAGGCGGGAAGGCAGAGTCTTTCTTCCTCACTAATTTCCTCCCCTTTGCCCTCTTCCCCACTCCTTCCCACTCCTTCCCACTCCTTCCCACTCCTTCCCACTCCTTCCCACACCTAACCCACCTGACAGAGCTGACCGCCCCAAAATGGTCGCACAGAGTGGCGAGGCGAGACGGCAGTGCAGCATCGGACTCGGCCTCAGGAGAGAGCAAAGGAGCGAGGCTCCAGATGACGGCCTGTGGAGGGAGGGGGAGGGGGAGGATAGGGGCACCAAGGCAAGCGAGGGATCGGACTCAACCTCAGGGGGGAGCAGTGGAGGGAAAGTCCAGATGACGGCCTGTCAAGGGATTGGGAGGGGGAGGATAGGGGCACCAAGGCAAGCGAGGGATCGGACTCAACCTCAGGGGGGAGCAGTGGAGGGAAAGTCCAGATGACGGCCTGTGAAGGGATTGGGAGGGGGAGGATAGGGGTACCAAGGCAAGAGAGGGATCGGACTCGGCCTCAGGGGAGAGCAGTGGAGGGAAAGTCCAGATGACGGCCTGTGAGGGTGAAGGGAAGGGGAGAGGGATGAGAAAGCAAGAGGGTATCGATATGGGAGAGTGGCGAATCTTGTTCCATTCCTGTGCCGTGCCCTACCTGTACGTGTTTGAAGAAGTGTTTTGAGACGTCTCAAAACACTTCTTCAAACACGTGTTCCTGTGCCCTACCTGTACCCCCCCTCTCTCAAATCAGTTACCCCCCTTCCCCCTCCTTCCCCCCCCCCCCCCCCTCCCTTTTTTTTTTCTCCATGTACCCTCCTTTATCCCCGCTCCCTCCCTACCTGTACCCCCCCTCTCTCAAATCAGGTACCCCCCTCCCCCTCCTTGTATTCCCCTTTTTTCCTCTCTATGTACCCTCCTCTATCCCCGCTCCCTCCCTGTACCTCCCTCCACCTCTCTGTAACCCTCGTATACCCTCTCGCTCACCTTGTGGTCACCCTCGCCAGTGGCGAATCTTGTCCTTTTCCTGAGCCCCTCCTGGTAATGGCCACTCTCTGCACCCCCCTCCTTTCCCTGTAACCCCCTTCCACCTCTCTGTAACCCTCGTATTCTCCCACGCGCTCACCTTGTGGTCACCCCCGCCAGTCGCGAATCTTGTCCCATCTGGATGCACGTGGATGGCGAAAATCGCCTGACCACCGTGCGACACCCACGACGGCTTCACCAGTCGCATGGCGACTTGAGCGATAGAATCCGCCTGTCGCACAGAGTCGCCAATGTGCAAGCGTCGCCGGCTGAATACGACTTACTAAGATGCACGAACCGCACGTCTTGTTCACGTCTTTAGCGTATGAGGCGGTAACAGCAAGTGAGTCTAACGATTTTCAGTGCACAAGTGCGCTAGTGCCTCAGAACTCTGCGAAAAATGACTAAAAGTGCTACGTCAATGCATCCAGCGACGCCGTATGGAACGGCGACAGGAAGTTCGCATGCATAACAGAATAGACCGCAGCGACGACGAAATGGTGTACGACACGGAGGACATAAAACGTTTTACACATTCTTACTTCGCGACACTCAAGCCTCGCGTACTATACTGTTCACCCGAACCTCCGCTTTTCAAAATTTACCTCCTAGCTTCCGGCCCAGGCCTTCGCCTCAAACCTGACCAGCAAAACGAATCTCGAAGGGAGGCTTGCACCACCCAACAAATCTCCCTGAGTATCGATAGTGCAAACCTCGGCTCCATGATATTGGACTCTCAAAAAACTGTACCCAAAGAATACAACTGTTCAAGCGCACATACGTAAAAAGTAACAAACATATCTATGTAGGAACTCAACTGTCCAAATGCATAATATCACGGAATAACGCTATTCCCCAATCACTGGTGAGTAATAGTACCCATTCCTGCCTCATCCAAATGGACACTAACCCATTATTTGCGCCGATTGCTTCAGCACCCTGATCCAGAAATGCCCAAATAATAACTAACCACCATATGACCCGCTTTTTCCACGGTCGCGTCACTTCATTCCAGCGGGGAACACTATCGCATCAGTCGTGTGCACGGCCAGCTTCCCAACTTTTAGGTAAAAGTCGCCCTTAGTGATCATCAGCTTGCTCCCGGGCTTGCCCTGCATCGCCACCCAACGCGCATTGAGCGGGGGAGAGCTTCGTCAGTATCAGCGACTTCTTGGACTTGAGGTCCGTGGAGAGCGTCGCGAGCGTAGAGTTTTTCGCGAGGCTTCGCAGCTTCTGGAAGGGCATAACGCCTTTGATGGCGTTGAACATGACGAGCGTCGAGAGCTGCGCTGTTGAGTAACTCGTTATCTTGACCTTGGCGATGGCCGCGTTGCTGGGGACGAGCATGGTGAGGGGCTTGGAAAGGGCCGCCTTGACCTGCTTCATCTTGCCTGCGATGGGGAAGGAACGGCCGGAAGGGAACGGAACATATTAGGGGATATGAATAGCTCGGAAAATGCGCGAAATTAGCGGCGTAGCGCAGATTACGAAATGAGGGAGAAAGAGGACATGCAGTTGAGAAGGTTTTCAGAAAAACGGTGAAATCGAAAATGGAGGTGAGAGGGCCCAACCATAAGCGTTGACGAGGGAGACGAAGCTGGTGTAACCCGAGTTGTTCAGCTTCTGAACGGCTTCGTCAACGGCGAGAGAGGCATGGGCGACACAGCAGAGGCGAAAATCGCACATCCAGCGAGAACGACGAAGATCAGGGTTGAGCGAAAGATCGGGATGGCCATAGCACAAAAAGCTTCGTTCGGTCGCTGAAGACTGGTTGAATCGTCGCAGAAGCGTAGAGGATGTTGGAATCGAAGAGAGTTGAACTGGAATTGGCGATGAAAGAGGGTCGCACTTGCGACGCTTATATGCTTCCTATCAACTGTCTCCCAGTTTGGCCGCGACGCATGCGACAATATAGCCGACACAATTCGAGCGTTTTATTACTCCCTTGCGGCTTGAGCCGACGATGTGCTGTGTGAACGACGTCGTTCAAATGCTTTCTGGTGCAGGAACCAGGGGGAGGCGACGCTCAGGCGACTGTTGTCCATCGCAGATGGTTTCATCGTAGGTGCGCTGGATTGCAGTGACCGACCAACTCAACATAACAAGCTAGCATGGGAATATCTACACTGTAAAGATGCTAGGTCTATAAACATATTCTAAATCGATCTGTGATGTATTGAGCACACACTTCCTCTCCAGTTTCCCTCATCATTCCGTTTGATATTAAAAAGTTAATCATTTGATTCATATTCGTTATTCGTATTTTTCACGAAATTCTAACTCCGTTTTATTGCATCTCCTACAACCAATATTAGCATTCCGCACTGAATGAATGCCTGCTCGGCTGAAATTACTCTCAAACGAAGACAAAAACCCCAAATCTTCCCCTGGCTTTCCGTGCACCATTGGAACGGCGGAAAACTGATCTGGGTGGAACTGGTGCAGTGCAGACTCGCACAGCCAGCTCTCGACATAGTCACCTAATTCTTTCTACCCCGACTCTTAGTTTACGTTTCTGTCGGAGCTCGTGGAAGCTGGGAGCCTGCATTCCGGGATCGGCGTTAAAAAGTCCTGCGTGTTCTGAACACCTTGTAGCGTGGCACATTGGTATACCCACAGTACCCACCCGCGGGCCTTAGTTTCTCCCCGCCGCCCCGCGCATATCCGTCCGCCAGTATGTCCGCGTTAGGCCTTTCCGCCGCTGCCCCGGCCTCCGCGCGCCTGAGCGTTTCCGCGGAACCCGCGCACTTGCGCCTGCGCGGGGGACGTACCATTCCGTCCGCATGGAAACCCACCCCCCTGTTGCTGACGTCATCCCGATCAGCAGCGGCGTCGCGGCGCGCAAGCCTCCCGATCCGCGCGTCTGCTGCTGCGGGAGCGGAGGGTGCGGCGGGAGATGCGGCGGGAAGTGCGGCGCAGGGCGGGATGACGTACAAGGACGCGGGCGTGGATATCGATGCGGGTGCTGAGCTGGTGCGGCGCATCGCCAAGATGACACCTGGCATCGGCGGATTCGGCGGGCTGTACCCGTTTGGTGAGATCCGATATCCGATAGAACGCTTGCATTGTGGTCCTTTCGCCGTTTTTGTTTTTGGTTTAGAATCTGATCGCAATGGCGATATGCCTAGTTTATATATGCGGATTACTTTTCACTGTTTCAGGGGACCACTACCTTGTAGCGGGTACGGACGGGGTGGGCACGAAGCTGAAGCTGGCCTTCGCGATGGACAAGCACGACACCATTGGCATCGACCTGGTGAGTGGCTGCTGCTGACTGCTGTTGACTGGCGTTGACTGCGTTGACCGCCTTGACGTGCATGAGCGTCAACGACAACATCACGCCCGGTGCTACTCCCAAATCGCCGCTCCACACACCCCACCGCATCCCACCCCACCCAACCAGGTGGCAATGAGTGTCAACGACATCATCACGTCAGGCACTCGCCCTCTCTTCCTCTGCTCCCGCTCATCCCACCTCACCCCACCCCACCACACCACACCCCACCCAACCAGGTGGCGATGAGTGTCAACGACATCATCACGTCAGGCGCTAGCCCGCTCTTCTTCCTCGACTACTTTGCCTCCAGCAAGCTCGAGGTCGACCAGGCCGAGCAGGTGCGTGCGATGCAGAGTGGTGCTGTGTGGTGCTGTGTGGTTCTGTGCGGTGCTGAAGGGTGTAGAGGAATTGTAGCAGGCGTGTGGTAGCCTGACTCGGCCCTTCTTCCTCGATTACTTCGCTTCCAGCAAGCTGGAGGTCGACCAGGCCGAGCAGGGGCGGTGCAGAGTGGTGCTGCATGGTTCTGTGTGGTTCTTTCCAGTGCTGTGCCGTGCTGAAGGGTTCGAAAGGGTTGTAGCAAGCGTGAGGTGGCCACTCTCGCCCTCTCTTCTTCCTCGACTACTTTTTACTTCCACAAGCTGGAGGTGGACCAGGCCAAGGCAGGTGCGATTCACAGTGGTGCTGCTTGGTTCTGTGTGGTGTTGTAAGGTGTGGAGGATTTGTAGCAGAAGTGAGGTAGCCTGACTCCTCTCATCTTCCTTGACTACTTCGATTCCAGCAAGCCGGAGGTGTACCAGGCAGGGCAGGTGAGTGGGACACAGAGATGGTGTGCGATGTTGTGCGGTGCTGAACGGCTGAAATGGGCTGTAGCAGGCGTGATGTAGCCACGCTCCTCTCTTCTTGCTCGATTACTTGCCTCAAGCAAGTTGGAGGTACCGGTTTGATAACCTCCCTCCACCACCTCCCTCCACCACCTCCCTCCACCACCTCCCTCCACCTCATCACACAAGTAGCAGCACCTGTTTGATAACCTCCCTCCACCACATCACTGCGTGCTGCTTATGCTGATGCTGCTGCTGCTACTTGTGTGGTGTGGTGTGTATATGCAGGACACATGTGTTAACCTCCCTTCTGCCACCCCCATCACCCCATCAGGTCATCAAGGGTATTGTGGACGGGTGCAAGCAGTGAGACTGTGCGCGGCTGCTGCTGATGGTGCACTTGTATGAATGTTCAGTACACATGTCATAACCTTCCACCTTTCCATTCCACGATCAAATTTATCTTCCCAACCCCACCACCCCCACCACCAATTCCCCCCCCACCACCCCCATCAGGTCATCAAGGGAATCGTGCATGGGTGCAAGCAGTCTGACTGTGTTGCCTTTTGAGTCGACTCAAAAGTCAACAGGTTATCAAGGGAATCGTGCATGGGTGCAAGCAGTGAGACTGTGTGTGCTGCTGCTGCTGATGGTGCACCTGTGTGTGTGTGTATGCAGTACACATGTGGTAACCTCCCTTCTCTCCTTTCTGTCATCTCCTTGCCACCCCCACCACCACATCAGGTTATCAAGGGAATCGTGCATGGGTGCAAGCAGTCTGACTGTGTTGCTGCTGCTGCTGCTGCTGCTGGTCATGCTGATGCACTTGTGTGAATATGCAGTGCACATGTGCTATCCTCCCTCCTATCCTTGCCATCTCCGCCACCCCCATCACCCACATCAGGTCATCAAGGGGATCGGGGACGAATGCAAGCAGTGAGACTGTGTGCTGCTGCTGCTACGTGCACATGTGCTTACCACTCTCCACTCCTTGCCATCACCCCCCATCACCCCCATCACCCCATCACCCCCATCGCCCCCATCGCCCCCACCATCAGGTCATCAAGGGAATTGTGGACGAATGCAAGCAGTGAGGACTGTGTGCGTATGCACACAGGTGAGACTGTGTGTGCTGCTGCTGCTGATGGTGCACCTGTGTGTGTGTGTATGCAGTACACATGTGGTAACCTCCCTTCTCTCCTTTCTGTCATCTCCTTGCCACCCCCACCACCCCATCAGGTCATCAAAGGCATCGTGGGACGGCTGCAAGCAGTCAGACTGTGTGCTGCTGGGAGGGGAGGTGCGTGGGAGATGCAGAAGAGGGGGGCGGGTGTGGGGGGTGAGGGTGGGCGTGGTGGCACTGCTGGCGCTGTTGCCAGTGGGAGAGGTGCGGTTGGGCCAGGTGGGAGAGGGCAAGGGGGGTGGAGAGAGGTGCGTGGGAGATGCAGAAGAGGGGGCCGGGTGTGGGGGGTGAGGGTGGGAGGGAGGGAGGGATGGAGTGATAATATCGTGGCAAGTGCTACTGCCCCTTGAGGCACCCCCCTTGTCTGCTTGGCAAGGGGGGGATGTTAGGGGGGAGAGTGTGTGAGGTGTGTGTTTGTGTTGCGGCACTGGCAAGTGCTACTGGCTGATTGGATTCTGCAACCAGCTGCTCAATCCAACTGCCAAGTGCCCCGGCAGTAGGATTCCCATAAACTTTCCAGATTTTTTTCAGAATCTTTTCAGAATCCTCCCAGGATCTTCCTTCCACTTCTTCCCACTTCTCCTCCTTTTCTTCAACCAATCAGACGGCGGAAATGCCTGGGTTCTATGCTGACAAGGAGTACGATCTGAGCGGGTTTGGCAGTGGGGCCTGTGAAGATTCACTGAATCTTCTATCCATTTCCTCCCCTGTTTTTTCCACCAATCAGACGGCAGAAATGCCCGGATTTTATGCTGACAAGGAGTACGATCTGAGCGGGTTTGCAGTGGGAGCAGTGAAGAAAGCAGAGCTTATAGACGGATCCGGTATAAGGAAGGGCGATAAGATCATCGGTTTGCCGTCCTCGGGCCTTCACTCTAACGGATTTTCCCTCGCACGCAGGTGGGACGAAGGTTATGTCGTGTGGTTGTGTGGTTGTTGCAGTTTTGTGCTTGTCTGGTTGTGTGGTTGTGTGGTACAGAGGTGGGGAGAGAAAGGCATGTAGTTGTATGTATGGTTGATGAGTAGACTCGTAAACGTGATGCAAGGCGACTCAAAGGACGTCTCAAGGCTCAAATGGTTTTTCCCTACACCCCCACCTCCAGGACCAGAGTTTTGAGACGTCTCGAAAGTCAGACCAGAGTGGTGGTCGGGAGTGGCGCTTCACTCTCAAACACCCTTCTCCCAAGCGCCCCTGTTCTCCCCCAGAGTGATTTTGTTCGCTTTTGAGTCGACTCAAAAGCACTCTCAGATCAAACCCCCTTCTCCCAAGCGCCCCTGTTCTCTCCCAGAGTGATTTTGTTCGCTTTTGAGTCGACTCAAACGCACTCTCAGATCAAACCCCCTTCTCCCAAGCGCCCCTGTTCTCCCCCAGAGTGATTTTGTTCGCTTTTGAGTCGACTCAAAGCACTCTCAGATCAAACCCCCTTCTCCCAAGCGCCCCTGTTCTCCCCCAGAGTGATTTTGTTCGTTTTTGAGTCGACTCAAAAGCACTCTCAGATCAAACCCCCTTCTCCCAAGCGCCCCTGTCCTCCCCCAGAGTGATTTTGTTCGCTTTTGAGTCGATTCAAAAGCACTCTCAGATCAAACCCCCTTCTCCCAAGCGCCCCTGTTCTCCCCCAGAGTGATTTTGTTCGCTTCTGAGTCGACTCAAAAGCACTCTCAGATCAAACCTCCTCCCAAGCGCCCTCTGTTTTCCCCCAGAGTCATTCAATGCACTCTCTCTCCTCTCTCCCCTCCGCCCTTACCTGTTCGCCACTTCCAGAGTGGTGGACGCCAGTGGCGCTTCCCTCTCAGACCCCCTCCCAGGTGCCCCTGCGGGAGTGACTATAGGGGGCGCCCTGCTAGAGCTACCGTGATATACGTGCGGCAGGTGTTGGACATTATAAAGGGGGGAGGTGTGCATGGCATCGCGCACATTACTGGGGGAGGCTTCACTGAGAACATTCCCAGAATCTTCCCTGAAGGGTTGCTGCAAAAGCGGATATGACTGCGTGGGAAGAGCCTCCAATTTTCAAGTGGCTCAGAAAGGTGAAGTGTTGCTTTGCTCTGTGTTGTATCCTCTGCTTCGCTGTAGTCTCCTTGTATATATTTTGCAGAATGAGAGTTCTGATCTCTTTTGTAGTAAGTTTTGTACAGAAATATTTATTATCCTGTTAATCTGTCAGTATTGTGTGCTACTTCGTTCTTTTGCTGCTTTCCTGCAGGCTTGGCAATATTGCTGAAGATGAGATGCGCCGTGTTTTCAACCTTGGGATTGGCATGGTGCTTATAGTGGATGCGGAGGCTTCTAAGCGCATTATAGAGAGCAACCCATCAGCCGTGCTTGTAGGCGAAGTGGTGGAGGGTGAGGGCAGTTATCTTCTCTTAACACTAGCTTGAAATTCTTTGTAGAATTGAGTTGACTTTTTCGTTTCTATAGATTTCCGCTCTGCTTGTTTTTAGTCCTCATCAAATGTTTTACCGCCTCTCGCTATCGCGCGGATCTCTGACATTGTCGAGGAAGGCCCAACGGTTCTGGTAGCCCCTCACTTTCAGATTCCCGCGCAAACGCGATCTGCGCTTTCAACTCAAGCTTCGACTGAATTTGTTTCCTTCGGGTTCAACCACTCACCGAAGTGGAAGTCCATTGCTGGCTTCCAATTGCGTGGACGCTTCAGCCTGGTTGCTTCACGGCTTGCATGGAATGACAGCTTGTGCCTGAAAACTGTACCTTGTATCACTTAGCTTCCAATAGTATCCTGACGCTATTATGGCAGCTTCAGTATCTCAGTATTTCACGCTATTGTAGTGTGAGGGTGTCGCCTTACCCATGTGGGACCTTTGTGAGTAGCGGTCGTGAGCTTATTCCATCACTTGTCAAACGCGTAGAGTGTTGTGTGTAGGAGGGTCCCGTGTGCGCGATAATAGTTTGCAAATAAGATATGTTTGCCGTCCCGTTGCTGATAGTTTGTAGTAAGTTAACTTAACTTTTGACAACGTGCATTCAAGCTGTTCAGAGTCAAATACATTCGTTAGTTGAATTAACTGCTAGCCAGGAGTATTTTTGGAGTTTCTTTAGCTGGCTTAGTGAGCGGCCGCCAATGCGCCTTAAACCATACGAGACGGCACACTACCGTGCTTAAGGGGTTACAGTCGTCCATTGCCTTCTCATACTTCGTTAACTAGTTTCGCTCTGCTACTGTAGTTCATCCCATGCGGTCCAAGGGTGGTAGGCGTCATAGCCGGTGAGTGAAGATTCGTCACGGTGCATCAATTTATTTATCGTCAGTCATGAACTTGCATGATATTTCAGGTAGTTCTTCATTGCCGTTTATTCGATGCGATCCAAAACGTACCGAAGGTGCGTCTTTTAGAAATATGCGGATGCGGGTCTCGCGTGCTCGACAACCACATTATTGTTCGTGTTTAAGACTAGCAAAACCCACGTGTTACGCACGTCATTACTATTCGCATCTTGTCAGTCAGACAACATTGTTACATACATCAACCTTGTTGTCATTGTATCATTCATCAACATGGTTACACTCCTTCGCAGGCACTTCGCGGACAGGCGGTCGTTCTTCGCCTCATACTGCACTCTCGAGCGCGTGCTGCTGCTCGTGCTCCTCTGCGCCTTTGCCTTTAACATCATTCCAAGGTCAGGATCATATCAGGTTCAGCTCTGCTCGTTTTAGCCTGTTGTCCTTCGCGGTACCGTTCGAGTCAACTCAGAAATCACCAGGTCAAGAACAGCTCTGCTCGTCTTGCTCGACGCCTTTGTCTTTAGCATCATCTCAAGGTCAAATCTAACTTTTGTCCTTCTCAAAAGCGTGTACCCAACGTTCCGTGTCATTCCATTATGTTCCTTTCCATGTCATTTCGTTTCCACATCATGCAATGCCATGCAATTCTTTTTCTTCTCTTGCCATTCCATTCCTCTACACCAGGCGATGATTCCTTTCCACTTACTCCTGTGCCATCTCATACTATGTCATGCCATTTCATTCCATTCCATGCCGTGTCTTGTCAATCCGTGCCTTGTCATGCCGCCCCACCAGACCTAATTTCAGACGAGGTTTGGAAGATAAGGACACCTTTCCTGGCCTCCGAACCTCCTCCTCAGACTTGGGCGGGAAAGCCAAGGCCGAACCTGAGGAAGAGGATCGAGTGTATGACTGGGTGGATGGCGAATTTAAGTCGCGATCAGGCTCAGAGGACGATGAGTATGAGGAGGAAGGAGACGAAGGAGAGAGTAGGATAGGAGAAAAATGGATCGACGTGGCAAGAAGACGGAGAGAGAAGGGGGGAGGCGGAGAGCTACGGGAATGGGGAGAAGGAGAGCACGAAGTGGAGTCGGAAGGGGGGGTTATGTGGGGAAGAAAAGGGGGAAGAAAGGGAGAGGGAGAGGGAAGAAGAAGCGGCGATTGCCAAACGAGAAGCTGCGGAAGCAGCATGAGGAGGAGGCGCGGCATAGAGTGAGAGGAGAGGGGACAGGAGGAGGGGGAGGAGAGGGGGAGGGGGGTGAATACGCTGAACGGATAAGCAGTGGTGGTAGTTTTCACGGCCCTGGGGGGGAGGTCTGGGGAGCGGATGACTATGGGGGGAAGGGGGGGTTTGGTGGAGGGGGAGAGGAGGTGGGTTTGGAGAGTGTGAGAGAGGAGGATTTGGAGGGGGAGAGTGAGGAGGAGAAGGAGGAGAGGAGAGTCTTGGAGGAGGATGGGTTGCCGCCTCTGGAGGAGGGGAGTGGGGGAGTGTGGAGTGAGAAGGAGAGACGGCTGTGGGAACAGGTGAGGGGATTGATGCCAATTTCCCTCTTGCTCTGAATCCACTTCCACTCTTGCTGTCTCCTAAACCCCGCAACTTCCCTTCTCCCCTCCGCATCTCCCTCCAACCCATACACCTGCTCTCCCAGCCTCCGTCCCTGGGTCTGAGGCCGTGTCTGCGCCACTCCCGCACCTACCGGAACCACTCCATAGGGCTTTGAACCGAGGGCGGTATCTGATGGCCGTGGTGACAGGGGGACTTAACCAGATGCGGCTGCAGATAGGGAACGCGGTGGTCATTGCTCGCATTCTCAGGGCCGTGCTGGTGGTTCCGGTGCTGCAAGAAAACAACATCTGGCACGACAGGAGGTGAGAGAGGGGGGAAGGGGTGTGGGGGCAGGAAGCGATGTGGGGGGGGTTGGGAAGTGGTGACGGTAAAAAGGACTCAAGCAGAGCGATATATAGTGAATATGTTTTTTCCAGCCGTTCCTTTTTACATTCAGAGCAACTTTGCTCACTCTTATTGAATGTTTCGCAACAAGGCAAGGGTTGTAACCAGCTGCTTCTTTCCCTTACCCCTTCTGCATTCCAATCCAATCACGTTCCCCTATACCAAAGTTTGCTCATTTGTACAATGCGTTTGCCTATAAATTTGCCGTGCCTCACTCTCAGCAGGTATTATGGAGTGAAGTTAGGGTGGTAGGTAACCACCCTCTGTTCTGTTTCGCTGCTCTCCCCTATTATCCCTTTCCCTCGCCTGCCCACGTCCCAACAGTGAGTTCTCAGAGATCTTTGACGTGCCTCACTTCCAGCGGGTGTTACGGAGCGAGGTGAGGGTGGTAACAACCCTGCCGCCCCACTACCTGCGGGCCGCACCTGACGAGAAGCTTCCTCCCACTGGCTCCACACCGGAATGGATCATTTCACACCTCCTTCCACCTGTGAGTGTCGCTACGCTACACACACTTTCATGGTTAATTGCACCACTCTATTTAGGCTTCCACGCACCACTTCCACCCCATTACACCCACCGTTACTCCCGTCCAAACTAGTTCCTCAAAATATCTTTACCAACACCTCCTAACCCTTTCTACCCACCAGCTTCGCCGGCAGCACGTACTCCTTATAAGAGGCCTCGATCAGGCCATAACGCCCGACCTCCCTCGGGAACTCCAGAAGCTCCGCTGCAAGGTCGAATTTCACGCCCTGCGGTTCATCCCGCCAATCCTGGCCCTCGGTCAGAAGCTCGTGTCCCGGATGGCTGCATCTGGGCCGTTCATTGCGCTGCATCTACGGCTGGAGCCAGATGTGTGGATCCGGACCGGATGCTACCCGAGGCTCGGGCCGGAGCTAGATGCTGCGGTGGATCGGGAGAGGGTGGGTCGGCCAGACCTGCTGACAGGGCGGCTGAATCTGACCGCTGAGGAGAGATTTGCAGCAGGGCTTTGCCCTTTGACTGCTGACGTCATCGTGCGGTGAGTTGTGGTGTGGTGCGGTGCGGTAGTTGAGGTGTGTTGCGGTGAGGTGCGGCGCGGTGAGTCGCGGTGAGGTATGGTGAGGTTTGGTGCGGACTGTGTGGTGCAGTGAGTTGCAGTGTTCTGTGGTGAGTTGCGATGTGGTGTGGTGCTTCTCCCCAGACTTCCCCACCCCAACCTTCTCTCCTCCCTCCCCTCTCTCATACGCTTCCATGCCCACTCCCCCCAACTTCACTTCTCCCCATTTCACTCCCCTCCTCTCCTCTCCCTTCTTCACTTCTCCCCACTTCACTCCCCTCCTCTCCTCTCCCTTCTCACACCAGTCTTCTCAAGTCGTTCGGAGCAACCAATCGCACGCGGGTGTTCTGGGCGGGGGCGGAGCCAATGGGAGGCGCACAGCTGGCATTGGCACCCCTCTGGATGTCCTTCTCTGTGGTGCACAGCAAGGAGAGCCTCGCGCTGCCGGGGGAGCTGGAGGTGTTTGCACGGCAGGCCAACATGCTGGCTGCTCTGGACTTCATCCTCTGTGCGGGCAGCAATGTGTTCATGCCGTCGCACGGGGGGAACATGGCCCATGTCATTCAGGTATGGTGTGTGAATTGTTGTGTGATTTGAGGCAAACGTGCTGGCAGCGCTGAAATTCATTATTTGTGCGAGAGCAGCCATGTGTTCATGCCGTCGCACGGGGGGAACATGGCCCATGTCATTCAGGTATGGTGTGTGAATTGTTGTGTGATTTGAGGCGAACGTGCTGGCAGCGCTGAAATTCATTATTTGTGCGAGCAGCCATGTGTTCATGCCGTCGCACGGGGGGAACATGGCCCATGTCATTCAGGTATGGTGTGTGAATTGTTGTGTGATTTGAGGCGAACGTACTGGCAGCGCTGAAATTCATTATTTGTGCGAGCAGCCATGTGTTCATGCCGTCGCACGGGGGGAACGTGGCACATATGATTCAGGTATAGTGCAGAGAGTTCCGTCTACTTTTGTTATGGTTATGGAGCATGTCGGGGTATGCCGAACGAGCCTAAACGCACGCCGAACCTTGGGGAAGTATGCGAGGGACTGACGCATGTGTTTCATTGCTTGCGCAAGCTCACTTCTATCCCCCAGTTACCATGCTTTGACCACATGACCACCTCGTAAATTCGGTGTGCTGCTCTTGCTGCTCCCATCTTATCTTCCTTCAATGATTTCAGGGACATCGTGCCTATTTTGGCCACAGAAAGACGATCATGCCCAATAAGCGGAAAATCGTAAAATTATTGCTGGATGAGCAATCAGGCGGGGTGAACGGACGCTCGTTGACAGAAGAGGAGTTTGAGAAAGCAATGGTGGAGATTCACCATGACTCGATCGGAGAACCACAGCTGCGCACCCATAAAAAGGGCAAGGATGCGATCATGTACCCTGTGCCTGATTGCATGTGCAAACGGAGCTGACTATAGTAGGATTCGTACATGGACTGCTGCGCGTAATATGGCACTGACATGCGATCATCCTGCTCGTACCACACTTGACTAATACCGTAAGCCCCGGATAGAAGCGCAGGCCTCGGATAAGCGCCGGCGCTTATAAAAGGATGAGGGCGCTTATATCCTGTCCTCGATTATAAGAGCACCCTTGAAGGCTTACGGATTATAAGCGCCACCCTCTGTAATTTTTTTATATTTTTACTAGAACCGCTGTAACGAAACACAATATTGCATCCCCACATTCAGAATTTCGAAACCGTTCCCCTTCGCGTGACTAAATGCCTTCACGTCCAGTCAGAATGAGCTGTCATGGGGTCAATCTGACTCATTCTGACTGTGTGTGTTGGGAGGGAATCAGCCACTGCCGATTTACGCGAAATTCACATTCGATGTCCTCTACAATATCGATTCGATTCAACTCGCAAGGACGAGATGAACACTTTAGTGTAAAAAAACCTATATTTCATATATGTCATTATATAAGCCCCGGCGCTTATAAAAATCCTCAAATATAAGCGCAACCCCTAAAAAACAGTGCTTTTTTACATCCCCAGGGGCGCTTCTATCCAGGGTCTGACGGGTAAAACACTTGCCTTCATGACCACAACCCTGTTCACTTGATAGACAGTGTTTGTCCACACTCTCCGCATATGAAGTATATATCAACTCATTTGTTTTGTACATTCTGCCCTCGTTTTAGCGGTGTTGTTATTCTACGGGACAGCCGACGCAGGTGCGACCAAACCATCTGCGATGAGCGACTTCGAAACAGTCGTTACAATGTCGCCGACCTCTGGTCGGAGCAGCCGAAAGTGTGAACGACGTCGTTCAGACACTGCTTGTGTCGGCTCAAACTGCAAGGATGGTACAGTAACGCTCGAATTTTGTCGGCTGCGCAGTCGCACGCGCGTCGCAGCATTAGGTTCCCAAGCATAAATTCGCCAGACGTCAGATCCATTCTCATCGCCAATCCGAACTGGAAGTGTTGTCAGCTGCGACGCATTCCCACATTCTGTTACTGACATTGCGCTTACTTTCTGCACCATGGCAACTCCTATCGCCCGCTCAACCCTGATCTTCGTCGTTCTCGCTGGATGTGCGACTTTCGCCTGTGCTCTATCGCCCATGCCTCTCTCGCCGTTTGACGAGGCCGTTCAGAAGCTGAACAACTCGGGTTACACCAGCTTCGTCTCCCTCGTCAGCGCTTATGGTGTGCCCCTGCTACTTTCGTCCCACACCAGCTTTCGCGTGATGCATTCAACCTCCAAGCTTCTCTCCCGTTCTCACTCCTGTTTTGCTTCATTGATTGGTTTCACCGCTTTCTGCGCTGTGCAACTTATTTAGCCGCATTTCTCTCTGACTTATATGAATCTTCTCACCTGCTCCGTTCCTTTCCGTCCCTCCCGTCCCCATCGCAGGCAAGATGAAGCAGGTCAAGGCGGCTCTTTCCAAGCCGCTCACCATGCTCGTCCCCAGCAACGCGGCCATCGCCAAGGTCAAGATAACGAGCTACTCTACAGCGCAGCTCTCCACGCTCGTCATGTTCAACGCCATCAAAGGCGTCATGCCCTTCCAGAAGCTGCGAAGCCTCGCGAAGAATGCGACGCTCGCGACGCTCTCCACGGACCTCAAGTCCAAGAAGACGCTGATGCTCACGAAGCTCTCCCCGCCCAAGGCGCGTTGGGTGGCGATGCAGGGCAAGCGCGGGAGCAAGCTGATGATCACTAAGGGCGACTTTTACCTAAAAGTGGGAAAGCTGGCCCGTGCACACGACGGACGCAATTGTGTTTCCCGCTGGAATGAAGTGACGCGACCATGATATTAGGGAGCCAGAAATCTGTAGTCGGATAAGAATTTCTGAGACTCTTGTAGGGTGCAGAAAGCTACGTGTTTCAAGCTCTTGGTGGCGCTAATAATTGATAGCTCATCTTGGTCAAACTAGCGAATGGCGAATATGTGCATTTATTTGTCGATCATATGAGTCTGAAACAAACGAGTCTGTAATGCTTGGCTTGTAATGCTCCAGCCTAACAAGCAGTCTAACGAGTTTCATGTGACTTTGAACACGGATTTCTCATGACTTGAAACATTATCATAAATTTTGCACTAAGCGCATAAATTTTGCACTAAGCGTTCGTCACATTCAGTAGGTGCAAAAGAAATCATGGCGAGCAAAGATAGTGGAAAATATGTCACTGAAAGATAGGAAGGACGTTTGCGATCACCTCATGGGGAGGGTGTAGATCATGACAATGTCTACAAGAGTTCTCACTCGTAGCAAACAGTACTCCCGCTGTCATCCCCGCTAAGTCCCCCAGTTCGTTGTGCGCTTTTGATTGGCACATGCGGAAAGACATTTGGTAATTTGCGCTGATTCACGAACCGTATAAATCACATGGACAGGACGCAGTAATCTCAATGCGTAGTCCTATCCTAACAGCTAACTCTGAATGAGCAACTAAGTCGTTACCGATTCGCATGCCTCATTTATTAGCTAACTTCCTTGTTGGTGCGCCACTGTTGCTGCTTTTCCGTCAGTTGCCTTTTTACAGGACCTTGCCCTGGAGCGTGGTGGGGAAGGCGACGGCGTCCGTGGTGTGAACGACGAGCATGCCAGGCTTGAGGTAGAAGTTGAGCTTGGTGATGGCCATGGTGCTGCCCTTCTTTCCCTGCAGCACCACCTGCCCCTTCTTGTTGTTCGCCTGCTTCTGCAGCGTCATTGGCTTCCCCGCCTTGGTGCTCGCGAGAGTCGTGATGTTGCTGCCCACGGGCAGGGTCTTGAGCGCATCGGCGGGAATCACCTTCTTGAAGGCGGAGAATCCGACGATCACCATGAGCTCGGTCGACTTGTAACTGGTGATCTTGAGCTTGCCGATCGCCGCATTCGACGGAACCAGCATGGTGAGAGGCTTCGAGAGAGCCGCTTTGACCTCCTTCATCTTGCCTGCGAGGAGGAAGAGACGCGCGGGTGGGATAAAGACGGGGCGAGGGCGATTCGAGCGACGAGGAAGGGAGAATGAACCTTGTCTGGAGGTATTGTGTGACGCAATGAGACGCCAAGGATCAAGAATAAATAAGAAAGAACGTAGTCTAAAGTCTCTGATTTAGCCAAGAAGCTCGTAGCTCGCCGCGATCCGTCGAGGTGTTCCGGGGTTCGTACCGTATGCGTTGACGAGGGAAACGAAGCTGGTGAATCCGGATTTGTTGAGCTTCTGAATGGCCTCGTCGAATGGCGTCAGCGGCCCGGTCGGTGCGGGAGGCGCCCCCGCGCTCTTCCCAGGAGTTGTCTTGGGCGAAGTTGTTTGTTTTGGGTGCGGGTGATTGAGCCGAGCAGACAACGGCCAAGCCCACGAGAGCAACGAGCAGCAGAGTGGATCGAGAAACGGCCATGGTCCCGACGAAGGATTCACTGATTGCCAACGCTGACAGAT